GCCTGGTAATTTTGGAGGCAGGAATATGTGATGAAAGAGATATTCGATCTGATCATTGCTGCTGATACTATCCATTGTGAAGATACCGAAGATAGGTAAGCAAAAAAGGATAACGACAGATGTCTGTTGTTTAATGAGTCAGATAGTTTGGCTAAGCCTCAGTTCGTATTCAGTGATGGATTCCCTTRACATAAAAGATACCGAATGAATAATTTTCTTAAAGTCGTTACCACTACCATGGATGCAGATAAGAACGCCATCAGTGTTGGACCAACACGTTGAGGCCCAAGATCAGGGCAGGCGGCTACGTAGCACACCAGGTCGGCCTCCCGCATTGGTAGTGGCGAGTCAGCTCGACTACAAGGGGCAATGTTTCGCGGCACAAAACCAATTTGCATCCGCGATAAGCAGCAGCGCCTTTAACTCGGCGCTGGGTGCTTTGGGTAACATGGCATACGCATTTTGTGCATACGCTGGACCGATGGTCTCCGCACAGTTGTAAAATGCATCATTTACCGTGTTATTTGCTGCTTCGATCCCACAATGCCCAAAMCTTCTATGAGTCTACTCAAGGCCGCTATTTCCAAGATATTGTACCGACAAAATTGTCTATATCACAGATAAACGAAACATAACAATTCCGCTCTCTCCGATAAAAGATGATTGGCCTACCAGGGCACAAAAGTGTTGATCAATTATTTGACTACATTTTGTTTGCTGCTCATTGCCAAAGGGAGGCTCTTCTATTTGTTCATTGTTGTATCGTCACACAGATTGTGAGAAGTTAATCACTATGAGTGGCTGTATATGAGGAATGAGGCCAGCTACAGACGGAGCAGTTGACGCGTCTGCGCATTCCCACCATGTAATTGGTCGCGCAAGTAAATTGGGTGGAGGTGACCATATAGCTCAAGCCGTCCCGACGGGAAACTGACGCGTCGCGATCGGCAGAGCCTCCGACCAATCCATGCCAGATGACCTATCTCTTAGCCGCTGTAACTGTAGATCATTCCTTAGTCAAGCGCTGCCAGGAGCGGGGTAATGAGACATTCATATCGCATTTGTTGGTTCTACTTGGTGGACTTCGTTTAGTGTAGCACAGGACATATCGTGCTCTCGTCATCGATTGCCATTAATCGAGATCCATTTATCTCGCGCCATCCCTCTCCACCG